AGCTCGTTTCTGTGGCCTACAGTTAGTTAAGCTTGACGACAACGACCCATGCGGGACTTAGTAGCGCCATTTCAACAACAACACAATACGGGCGACTTGGTACCCCCCTCCTTTATTCGTCGCTCTTCCTCCTACAAACTCAGAGTTGCCACAAAAAGGAGTTGCCGTATGTAAATGACATGCCTTGGAAGAATCACTGTAAAGTTGTTGTTTTCTCGAGCGAAAACTTTTAGTTTTTATGGCCCCAACTTATTTAATACATATATATGTACATTAAGGTGTATCACGAAAAAAAGTTTAGGCTGTGTCAGTTTTATTTGAACACTTATGTCGGGAAAAGTTGTGGGTATAAATATTGGGGCATATTCTTAATCGAAATTAAGTCTACCAGTAGCTTTTTTGACAGTTATTGCATTAAAAATTATACCAAAAAGCAGCTACTAACTTTAGAGTCGACTTTATTTTGACTATGAATATGCCCCAATCTTTTTAGGCACCCGGGTTTGGTTTAGTTTTGCACGAGAACAAAATGTTATGTCAAGAACTTTCCCGCAAACGAAGCAAACGGGAAGAAAAGTATTCAGAACAGTTTGAACGGGAACAAAAGGTTCCGGAACGTTTCCGTTAAGAACAAAAAGAGAACAAAACTCTCAAGAACGTTGTCAAGAAGTACAAAATGACAACGAAAATATCGAGAACATTTTCAAGGAGGGTCAAATAAGAACAAAAGTCTGGGGAACATTCTGCTAGCGAACAAAATGAGAACAAAACTTTTGAGAACCTAAAGAGCCACTGAGACGAACAAATGTTTTTATCAATGCTTTAAGTGTATTGATGCCGACGGCTTTTGTCGGCTACACGTTCAGTACACCGACTCGTAGTCGACTATGCTTGATGAAAATCAAAAAATTTTGAAATTTGGATTTGATGACGGTTTATTTGACCGTCTCTTGTTATGCCAGACCTTATAATTGTTAGTGCAGGTCTTGCTTGACAAAAAACAAGCTCACTTGCCTTTTGGACGTCGTGGTGAACAAGTGCGCAAACAAAAAAAAAGAAATTGTTTTACGTTTGATTGATCATTATCAATGCTTACTAGCTATGAAATGTAATAAATATTAATTTATAACATATAACATATAAAATTATGACATAATAATTAACCACAAATACGAAAAACGAACGCTGCGTATTCACAATACAAAGTGGTGATTGACGCGTTTATTTGAACGTTTGCGGGCAAGACTCGAGCGAACCTCCCTCACACATATGCAATGCTTGACGTATTTATTTGATTATCTCCGTGGCGCTTAACGTTAAGGGCCAGTTTTTCAGTGCACGACCGTGGTTTAAACTCAGTTTAAACGCCCGATCTGGCTGGTTTAAACTAAGATTAGCCAATCAAATGTCAGCCAGCTGTTCAATTTAAACTCAGTTTACTTAAACTAAGTTTAAACTGGCACTGAAAAACTGGCCCTTAGAATGATATGCACTGTTGCCAACTTGCTGCTTTTCGCTATAAATGTAATGTTTTTCTTTATTCACAACGCGAAAATTTTTGAGTTTAGTGCCTGGTGCATTTTTTTGGTGCTTTTTTTTGCTTTGAAGACACCAAATTTGGAAATCTTAAAAAAGTTGGGGCAAAATTTTTTAACAAGTTTTCTAAAGGTGTTCTTTTACGATCTGTATTTGTATCTGTAAATGTGACATTTTCGGTACATATGTAATTGCGTATGTCTGTCAAATTCACAGTCTTTATTTAACTTTTTAAAAATATGAAAACCAAATAAACTAAACTCAGATGATTCTATCCGTGTGTCAGATGAAAATAGAAACATTTCTAATTCGTATGTACGTGCATCTGCTTTGTACAGAAACAAATCTAATTTGCCTTTACACGACATGTTGGCATTTCCATATATAAGAAGTGGCATGTACACATACAAATATATATCGTGTAAGAACACCTTAAGCAACTTTACAAAAATGGAAACAAAATCGTGTCACAATGACAATCGTACGAAATATGTGGCAGCACGACTATTCGAAAAAGCAACAGCATCTCCTAACAGTAAAATTATTATCTAACGAAGCTTTTTGAAAAAAAGAGAATAATCGAAATCGGATGGGATTTGAAGAGTAGATTTTTTGACACAAAACTACTTTTCCCACTATGCGCCAGTGGATAATACGCTCAAATAAGACACATTAAAAAGGATAATCAAATTTCCTTATGTTTCAGGTGTTAAGCTGTCGGAAAGAAAATTTCTTTACTTTCCTTTAGTTAACGTGATCATAAGAGACTGCAGTGTAGATTTAAACTGCCATATAGTTCATTAAACTTCATTTCTTGTATTTGCTTTCGTTTGATAGGAACTCTAGAAAAAATTTAGCAAAACAAAGAAAAATATAACATTGCTTAGATCTAAGCGAAACACCAACGCGAGAACAGCAAGATGAAAATATTTGAATTTATAGAAAACAGAATTAATTCGACTGTCGAGCAAAAACATTCACCCTCATTGCGAGAGTCGTGTCGAATGCAAGTCGTGTTTCGAGAGTCGAGAGAGCCTAAAATTTCCACTCGACTACAATGTAACAATGCTGTCGAGTCGTATAATTTAGTCTAGTTTACGACTTGCGCAACAAGGTTGATTGATTTTTATTAATTTTAATCGGCATCCCTACAATACAATTTTTGCAATGCAATTGGAGTATTTCTCCAATAGAAATTTGGTGCTTTTTTTTATAACAAACGTGGTTTTTCTAGGGTTGTAGTGCTTTTTTGAATTCAAAACTTGGCAACACTGATGATAGAGTCGCCTGCGTGTTGAAATGGTGACAAAAATTTTGTAACTGACAGATTTAAACTTTTTCATATATTTTTCCGTAAAAAAGCTGAGATAATAATTTGTCACTGATACAGAATAAAGCCGTTAATTCTAGCTGGACCATGTCAACTTCCACATCGTTTATAATTAGGGTGAACTGTCAGTTTATGGAACACTTTTTCATTTTCTGTGCAAGAAAAGTTCGCGTCTTAAGTCTTTCGTTGACTTAATTTGCACAATTATCTTTCAGTTTTTTTTTATTAATTTGAATTTTCAAATATTTCAAACTAATGCAAGGCAATGCGATTTTTTTTTCTCGCTTTCACTCTTTGCGAATAGTTCAGGGAATATTTATTACCGTTTCGTTCTCCGTCAGAAGTTCCTGAGAATTTATTTGCCAAATAGTTCTTCGAGAGAAAGTTTCTTCGACTTTTTTTGTTTTTTGCCAGAACGTTGCGAAAACTTTTGTACATATATTCCGATAGTATTGTTCTGTTCGGAAACATTCCACAGGGTTTAATTCTTATATAATTCCCATTGAGAACGTTTTCGACAGTTTTCTTTCTCACTTTCGTTCTTGTGCACGTTTTGGAAACAATGCTTCTCTCATCCTTAAAGTATAGACTTCAAGTAGGTGATTGGAAGAAAAATAATTTACCTGTTAAACGATATATTTAAGATTACAGTGAGATTTACTCACATAACATACTTTCTTGCATATTAATTATTTATTAATTCTTTCATTTCAGTACTTGAATATGTCGGTCCTAGATATCGCACATTTGTGGCGAACATGTCAATAGCTTTATTTTTTACGGCCGCAGCGTGTTTATTACCCTGGATTGCCTATTTTATTGCAAACTGGAAGTTGTTTGCTATTGCCACCTCTGCCCCACTAATTTTGGTTGTGTTAACTCCCCTTGTTATTCCAGAGTCGGCAAGGTATGTATGTATATTTAAGTTCTTTTGTTTAATTCTTGGGATGCTAAATATTAGTTTCCTTTGCAGATGGCTTGTATCGCAAGGCAAAGTGGAACAGGCTATATCTATACTTAAGAGGCTCGAGAAAGTGAATGGAAAACACGTAACCATGGATACGTACCAAGCTTTTAGTGCTAGTTGCTTGAAATTGAAACAAGAAGAGTCTAAAAATAGTAGTTATTCAATTTTAGATCTTTTTAAAACGCCCCGTTTGCGACGGACCACAATTCTACTCATTGTCATTTGGATGGCAATTTCGCTAGTATTTGACGGTCATGTACGGAATGTAAGCTCTCTGGGAGTGAACGTATTTTTCACCTTTACCGTAGCTTGCTTCACAGAGTTCCCAGCAGATACTATCCTAACGCTTATACTAGACAAATGGGGACGTCGTTGGTTGGCATGTGGATCTATGATTGCCAGTGGCATTTTCAGTTTGCTCGCAACACTTGTTCCACCTGGAATTTACTTTGCTTCTTTAGCTATTATGGGTCGCTTCTTTGTTAATATTTCATATAATATTGGTTTGCAATATGCTGCTGAAATTTTGCCTACCGTTGTCCGAGCTCAAGGAGTCGCTTTTATTCACATTATGGGATATGTTGCGAGCATTATAGCTCCCTTTGTTGTATATTTAGAAAAGGTTTCCCCGGCCCTTCCACTGGTAATTTTGGGCGTTCTAGGAATCATTGGCGGAATACTGGCTTTACTACTGCCAGAAACGCTTAATCATGATCTTCCTCAAACGCTTACAGATGGTGAAGACTTTGGGCGGGGGCAGAGCATATGGGACTTCCCGTGTTTGGCAAAAAAATTAGATGAATGCACCGACTTAGAAGTGAGACCACAAAGCTTTGCCCGCTCAACACAAACCGGCGCATCGCTCCGATCTTCCACCCGTGGGGAACTACGGTCGAGCATTTTAAGAAGATCAGCTAATTCCCGTTACTCATCAAAGCTATGAATACGTTCACATATTTTGCTAGGTTAAAAATTTCATAAGTACATTTGAAGCAAAGCTTCTCAAACGTTGTTCAAGAAGTTGATTGAGTCCATACACTTGTGATATTAGTAATAAGTATACGGGACAAAAGCATTTTAATAAAGTGTAGAGTTGTAATGGAGCAACATTATTAAAACTATTGCATATTGTTCACTGAAGTATTTAATAAATAAATAAACGCATCGTTATTATTACTGTTATGTTGTTTTTATATTATCTTATATTTACTTAAACATAAAATTGTTTAGGGTATGTACAAAATTTTTCAACGCCTCTTCCTACCCACAGCAATCTTTTTTCCAGGCGCGCGCTGTCCACGCCCGCCTTTAGGTTTCTTGCCAGTTTTACCATTACCTTTTCCTTTTTTGCCTCCTTTTCCTTTCTTTACTTTTTTTCCGGCATCAGTTGGATTAGCTTCTCTCCTAAAAGAATAGATAAAAAATAAAAATTGTTCATTGAGTTATTGAATATCTAAAAATTGATCTTACTCTAATTTATTTTCGTTCTTTTGTAGTGAAATAGCCTTTTCAATGTCATATTTTGGTTTCTTGTTAAGCACACTCTTGATCAAATCCAGATTAACCTCCTTTTCAGGCTGGGCACTAATATGTGAAGCTTTACGTTTCGATCCAGGTATCAGTTCTTTCACACCGATACCACGCGCTTGTTTTTCCTTTGGCAATTTATCTTGGAATTTTCCTACGGAGGCTGTGGATGACTTAGCTACAGTGACTGCAGTCAGCAACTGCCCTGAGGAGGCTACCTCTGGGCCGAAGTAACCTCCACGAGGAACCTCTACCTTTCTTGCTCGAACAATGTTTTTCATGCGTTGTATCTCATTCTTAGCCACTTTTTCATTACGCAGGTCGATTTTCTTCTGAAACATATCTTCATTTGGATCAACATTTTTAGGTACTTCCAATACCCATTCCTTTTCTTTTTCAGCATCTGCACGTTTGAATCCATACGTTGGTACCCATTTCTGCAAAGATAAAGTTAAAAAATCAAACCTGAAAAAGTATAGCTATATAAATCTCCTAAACTTACATCGAGTACTTCATCGTATTTTTTCTTGTCCGTCTTTTTCTTTTTAATGCCTTTTTCTTTTGCGAACTTTTCCCATTTTGTCAAGGGCTTAGGTCCAGGTACCTTACGCAGGCGAGGCAAGACAGTTGCTGGCGCCGGCAGCTTCGCCACGATGCATTCGTCTACACGCTCAGCCGGCACCTCCCATATTGCATTAATTAGCAATTGTGTATTGTCACGAGTAAGATCAAGCAAATACTGCTCCCGGTTACTTCTGTAAATAGCAAGACATAATTTGTACGATTTTATTACAATTTAGATGTACCAAAACACTGGACATCATTTATTTACCTTAGACCTTTTTCATCTAAATCGTTTGGGTCAGTGCACATCAAAGAACCAACATCTAGCCGGACTTCCAAATGTTTATCTACAGTAATTGGTTTGTATTTTTCTAATGTTCGTTGTTGTTTTTCTAACACTTCCTTCACGATATCCATTTTGGTATATTTTTTAAATCATTTAAAATAGAAATGCCTTAAATTTCTACGAAAATCGTCTGTTTTCTACCAAATTTACAAAATATTTGACATTTCTAACCGCACGTGTGTTATACAGAGTTGCATTGCAAACATAAACAAAAAGCAGTGTCAGGCCCGTAATAACCAGGGTGGCGTTAAAAGATTTTAGTTCTGTTAGCAGTGCAAACAATAGTTGTGTTTAATAAGCTGCTCTAGGTTACGCCAGGTTAATAGGCAATTTACATGATTCAACTTTCGCAGGCGATTAGTTGAACCAAAAGTTGAACGAAAGTAGGCAGCCGACCAACTTCATTCATGATAAAAATATAGCAAGGTAGAACCGTCCTCTCAATTTGTCGGCCATGATTTTTTTTTGAAGTTTGCCAACATTTTAAAATCATATAAAAGTGAAAATAAAAAAATGAAATTGTTCGAAATTGTTGTTGCTTGAGATTGAAAATGAAAATGTGTGTGAGTTTGTGAGTAAATTTAAAAATTAAATTGTATGGAAACGTCCAGAATTTTAAAAGTGACTCTCAGCGGTTCTACCTTACTATATTTTTATCATGACTTCATTGAAAGCGATTAGTTGAAAGGCCGTTTACACCAGGCGATTGTTGCTGTCAACTAAAAATCGCCTGAAAAATCGCTTCATGTAAATTCCCTATAAGATATCTCACAAAATTTTGTTTCATGAGCATTTTTCTTGCTCTAACTTACTCTAGCTTTTGTTTCATGAGCCTGCGCTAATAAGTTAACTAGAGCATATTAGACCCAATTTCAGAGATGGCCTATTTGAGTAAAGATTGTTGATTAACTTCCACTATTCATTTTCAGATCATACATTTAATTTGCACTTAATTGACCAATATTGGCTATTTAAATATGAGATATGCAACCCTGTGTTTGTACCAAACAGCCAAGATTGATTAGTAGGTTGTTTAATCAATCCGACCAAAAAACAATCAGCTATTCAGCACAAGATGTAAACAAACAAGCAAATGAAACAACAATTTCAAGCACAGTATACCAGTGGAAAAGGTTTTTGTTGTTGTGGCTGTTAATTTGGTCCCCATAAAGGACTTGAGGGTTGCCAGCAACTGTTTTGTCGCATTCAGGGTGCTGTGCAGCAAAATAATGTGGTGAAAAATTTTAAGATCGGATAAATGGCGAGAGAAATATTGTTGTGCGCTTTATAAGTAAA